ATCTAATGGTACCATGGTACTACTATGTTGGTACCAACCACATATAGGATATTAATGAATAATTGTTGGTATAGGTCAACCTTCATTCGGCGTCCCTGGAAACCATCTTGGTTAATGATCATACATGGTGAATGATGGACCAACTGACTGACTTCATTCTCGCCTAGATTTACCTTTTCATTGTCACCCATAAAAATATTTCAGATCCAGAAATAATGAGGGATTGTTAATAATGCGGATTACCAGTCTCATTGCTAACAATATACCAGTCAGGTCGACCTCCACGTGGTCCCCCCCGGAAACCATCATGCTGAATTTCAGGTGTATTCATCAGGATGGGCTAAGTGATCTATCTTTTCATCTTACTTAGCCATCCCTCACTGGAGTCCCGCCAACGTATACCATTAGCGCAGGCGGGGCTACTATTCCATTATCATCATTCACGAAAAAATGTATGTACTATAATTTAATACAGTAAAAATTAATGAAAATGTAAACAAATGATTAACTAACCCGACTATAAAGCAGTTTACTGGTGTTTAATTAAAGTAGAAATTAAAATCAATTGAATATACCATTTTAGAACTAACTTCTTCCATTACTTTCATATTTCTGTGATAACTTTAACAAATTCGATAAATTTTTCATTAAGTTTAATTAAAACAGATTCTAAATAAATTTAAGTAGTATGTACTAAATAAATACGTGTTAAATTCGTGTGAAATTTAACATACACTTAATAAACGTTGCAAACTTTGTCCTAGATATTGTTTGTAAGCAATCTTTCGCATATTCGACTCAATATTTGCATTTTATTGCACCTAGCACATTGTCGATCAAGCAGAACCGGAACGAAGAGAAAGGTCCTTGTTTTTACCGTGTGACGCTTTCTCCTGGTGTTTTGCTTGCAACCAGTAAGCTGTGAGGTGACCTATTTGGCACCTTACATCGCGGCTTTCTTTCTATACTATATGATCGACATTTTAATTTAATTTATATACATATATCGATATATATATATACATACACACACATATAATATACTCGTATGTGTATATATATTTAATTTTAAAAAAGATACCGCGGAATGATTATAAATCTTGTTAGCAAGGATGAGTTTATCTTTGAAAGAATTCTCTTTCAGCTAAAATAATGCAGTAATAGTGTAAGTACAAAATGATTCAACTCTAATTTAATGTACGAAAGTTATGGAATAGATATAAAGAAAAAACTAAATACAAATACAATATACTAATAAAATAAACATATACAATTTATGTTTTCCTACTAAAATAAAACGTTGGTACTCCGTCTCGTTACCTAAATGTAATCTGTGAGTAGTATGATTATCAATTGATCAATATTTGATTATTTTAAATGTCGATTTTTAATTTTTGACAGGCTTGAATATTTATGACCACTATAGAGTTTATATAATTAAATTGGTTATAATAAATTTAATATGGTTTTCATACAAGAATAAACTCTATCAATTGACTGAAAAAATAATTTATCAAAATCAATTCATAATTTGCCGAAACTCGAAGATTTGTAAGGATTGACGGGGATATGTTTGTTATTCTTTCACGTTAAAACTACTGAATCGATTTGAATGCTTTGTACAAGAGTAGATCATATCTTAATTTATTACGTACAACTACGTACTGATTCACACGGGCAAAGCCGCGGAAAATAGTATAGATTTAAAGAATAGTGGCTCACTTTGTTAGCAGGAATTTGTGGTAATTAAAGATAAAAAAGAAACAAAAAACCAACTTCATTTGTGACAAAACCAATTATTTTGATTTAAAAACTAAACTAATGAACCGATTTTGATAAAATTTCTATTGGAAAAAAATTATAATCAATATATATCCTTTATATAATACGCACAACGGCCCAAATGAGAGGCTACGCGCCGAAAATAGAGTCCTATTTACATTACATTATCCTTTATATAATCCAAATTGATTTAGAACTGACGGAGTTATAAGATAACAAACAAAAAAAATACAACCGAATTGAAAACCTCATTTCCTCAAGTCGGTTGTAAATTTCATCATCATTTACATATCATTGTATGTTAATCTAAGATGTCATCTAGATTGTATCTACTAAATTTCATTGAAATCGTTTTAGCCGATTAAGCGTGATTGAGTAACAAACATTTAAACTTTCACCTGTATAATATTACAAGCTGTATCTTGCGGCTTTACTCGTTGGAATCAGCGGATCTACCATGAAATGAAATTCCGAAATTTCGGACTCAATTTCGTGTTTTTGTTTATACCAAAATCGGATCAATAAATGGAGTTTAACATTTCGTTCGTCATACATCCTATCATAAAAGTCCAAAGGAACAATATTTTAACTTTTTTAATATTTCAAACGGCATGTATTATGTAATTTTAACATCACATTTCTGTTTCGTTTGGCTCCGAAATTTCGGAAAACATTTCATGGTAGGCCCTCAGCATATAAAATATCACGTATTAAGTTAGGATATAGCTTAAGTGTGTTTAATAAATTTCATTAAAATTAGTTCAAACGTTTATTGGTTAACAAATTTAACAAGTGTATTGATTTAGAAATGTATAAATATATATTTAATATACTAGTATGACTTAATAAGTCACCAGTTTGAGTTCTAACATTCCAGTTTGATTTCTAGTTTGAGTCAAGGCTCTCCCTTTATGACTGTGCTCGTGTCTAAGAATTGCATATAATCACCTTGATCGCTATCGATCCTACGCAGTCCATGCAGGTGCAGCTATGCATATTAAATTACTGCATTTAATAACATCTATATATACTTAGTTACATTTATATTTTTTTATTTATTTATTCATTAGTATATATATGTGTATAAAGCATTCTCTTTCAGTCAACCAGAGGGAAGTGTCAGAATACTAGTAATTATTGATATACATACATACTAAAATTACATATACAAACGAATAAATATATATAAATAACAAATATACTTACACATATATAAAATATACTATACTGTACACGAAACTGAGAATAAAATAACGTACTTACCTTACATTTACTTTTGAGATAAACAATAATATAATTACGCCACTAAATTACTAAAAAGAAACGTTATATTTTTTTGTTTGCCTGTTTGTACGTCTTTCTGTGTGTCATACATCATAACATTAACACCTTGTGTTCGACTATATAAAATATTCAAAAATATAGAACGATGGTTAACAGCTCTCTATACAGTAGCTGCTTCTAAGTTGAATAACTGGTAGTCAACGTGATCCTAGAGTCTATCTAGTAGTGACATCCTAATGGACAGAGGTCTACGAAAGAGTGAGATCGTGTGCGAAATCTGTGAAAATACTAGAAGATTTTTTACATGCTCTTCTTTGCGGAGATTTGATTTCTGATCTGAGTTAGGATAGTTATAATAATATTATATTGATAAATGTTATATTAATATACGCATATATATTTATAATGATATGCATAAAACCACTTTATATAATAGAAATAGAAATAATATTTATTTAAATAAAATTAATTGTTTCTTTTATGATGTTACCGTTGGGTTTGGGATGTTGTAATTTGCTGAGAAGAACCGGCAAGAAATTTAGCAACTTTTTCAAAAAATGTACGTACTAATAAATTTTATATTTGTATGGGTACAAATGTGTGGGTACAAAGGTGTAGTTCCCGCATAGAATAAAGACATCCCTTTATTTCTTGTAGGTGAGTGACGTAAGTGACGGCTGAGAGAACTTAATGGTCGAGGATGCACAACAGCGTCTCTCTTAAAACATCTCTAATCCGACTGCCAAGCGTGGCAACTACTAGCAGAAGCCCCCAAAACGGTGATTTGTGTTAAAAAGGCGATAATTAGCATTGTCTTCATCACTTCACTAAAAAACAATAGTTTCAAATTTTATGATTCCCCATACATGAAATGTTCGAACGAAAAAAAAATTATCAGATCTCATCAATGTTATTATGTAAATTTTTTTCCCCACTGAATCTAAATAACAACCAATTTTGCATAACTATAAAGAACTATGCAAATTTTGTTATGTTATTCTATTATTAGTAATAATGTAGGTATAATTAAAGTTGCAACAAACGATCAATATTTGTTAAAATATTAAAATATTAATAGGTTTTTTACTTAAATTATAATCAGGTGTGGCTTCTGACGTCGAATATAATTCGCATAATAATCAAGTTGATATATAAAAATACAAGATATTTTTTTCTTTGTTTACATTTTTTACATGAATTCACAATTATTTACTTGCTGTAAAATAAATAAGATTCGTGTCTGTACTGTAAATTAAAATAATTAGAAAAAAAAATATATTAAAAAAATGATAAAAATTTATTTATTTACGAGTATTTACAGTATTAAATGGTCGAGGGATGGGCAGCAGCGTCCAAGCCAAGTGTGGCAACAATTGGCTAAACTACCCAAGGAAAAAGCTTATGTTCAGGAATGATACGATAATATGATGATTTACAATATGTTTATTTATAGTATGGCAATTCGCAAATTTAGCAATATCGTGAATTTTGCGATATCATAACTTCTGCTACCGCGGTATCACGGTATTTTTTTTTATGGGTGAAAATGGTATGGTAACCCCGTCTGCGCTAACGGGATACGCTGGCGGTGCACCAGTGAAGGCTGATAGATGAGAATGAAAACAGGCCAGTTAGCCCATCATGATGAATTCAACAGGAATTAACCATGACAGTTACCAGAGAGAACCGCTAGGAGGTCGACCAGGTTGGGTATATTGCTAGCAATGGGATTCTCAGTCTCTATTACTAACAATCCGTTTCACCCCGGTATCACGGTATTGGATACTCTATTCTTACAGTTTAACAAATAAATTCTTCTACATCAATTAGCAATTCTTATGTAAAAAAAAAAAAAATTAAAATATATTTTTTTAAATATTAATCAATCAATAACATGGTCGTTGGATGCACGCGACCGGTTATCTAATCATAAATCGTTATGCAGTTCTTGTAGAATCGCGTATATCGGTGCTCGTCTACCTAAATCTATGTTCAACAGCGTGAATTTAAATTCGAATCACATTCTTATAAGTGATATATAATGAAGTAATAAAGAATTGTGGAATGAAACAAACAGTGTTGTGAAGGTTAGTATTGTACTTTATCTATTGTGCTTTTGGCGATACGTGATATTTATTTAATTTGAATTTTATCATTTCTAAAAGTGATCTAATAAAAAAAGAATTACCTAATTCATATTGTTTATAATTTATAAAAGCTATTCAGTTTGTTTAATTAAATAAAAAAGTCTTTTAGGTACTTACATAGATAGAACTATATATTTGTAGTTCTGTCAGATTTTGAATGATTGTTTTCATTTTGTTGAAGTCGTTAATGAGTAAAGTTGATTAAAAAATGATTTAAGCTTTTGTCTAATAAAAGAGAAAACTGTCAAATCGTGACAAAATTAATGTATTAATTTGCAGTTGTAATAATATTAACTCTAAACATGTTTGCAATAAAATTTGGTACATATACATAAGGCATCGATTAAGATATAAGACACTTTGTATACTGACTAGTGATGTGCCCCGGTTTCATACGGATAGATAGAAAAATAATATTTATATTACAATATTTAATCACTTAAAGTGAGATTTCCTAAATGCTGTGACATAACAATGTTTGAAAGTATTTTTTGTTAAGTCGACCTCTATAGAATAATAATAAATTTATTTATTTCACTTTAAATTTTAATAATTTTAAACATTATGGTAATTTTTTAGGGATCTCTAATTTTTTTAACAATATATGTTACTCGTTGATAATGTAGATTTTTATAGATTGAGTCATTTTTGAACACGGTTGAGTAGTTTTTGAGTTTAACCATTACAAATAAAAAAATAATTTTTTCCTCTTTATAATATTAGTATTTACGCGAAAAAAGCTGCGAAATACAATTAGTTAATAATACTGTTAAATGTAACAAAAGATATCGAAATAGGTAAAAATTGAATAAGAGATTCAATTATGTTTTATCTTTGCATAATCTCGGAAGACTACAGTTTACATTGTATTTGCAATACGACAAATTGCCAGGAAAATGATGCCATGAAGTCATTTGACAAGTAATCCAAGCATGTCTATCTGTATGCAAAAGGTCTGCAATTGCAGTTTTCAACCGACTGCGAAATAATAGAGTATTGTTTTTGTATGTTTTTTTAATACTCGTAACTGGAAATGGTAGGGGGAAAGGGATTGCTAGTAATGGGATCTAACAGCCCCATTACTAGTAATATACTCTATCAGGTCTACCTCCACGCGGTTCCCCTGGTAACCATTGTGGTTATTTTGTGAAATTCATCATAATGGAACAACTGACCTGCTTTCATCTTCAACTATCATCTCTCACTCGTTCCCCGGCAGTGCATATCGATAGCGCAGGCGGCGTAGGATTACCATTTCATTCTCATACATAAAAAAAAATTGAAAATAATAAATATCATTTCCAGTCACGAATACATAAAATATACACAAAACAAACTTTCTTAGCCATGTGTCAATTGGGTTACCATAATATATATTTTTTACACTTACGACATCCCATATACTGGATATGGGGTAAATAATATTGTAAAGTTAAATTGAAAAATAAAAACAAACAAAATTCTTACAAATATATTTAAATTACTTATCTTTATTTATTACTTTGATTTACATCCAAGTGCAGACTTATGTTTTCGTTTTAAAATCATTGAAACTGGCCGCCATTTTAATTGATGCATGTTTATTCATTTGTAACCAATATGAATATATGTATATTTATATAATATCAGAAGAAATAGTTCTAAATTCAAATTAAAAAATCTTTAATTTGATTACTTGAAACATTGAAAAAATGGCGCGTTTTGTTTCGATTTTAATGCAATGTGTCAAATTGTATCATCTAAATGTTAATTTAGTTGACTATATGTGTATATATATATGCTGATGGCCCACCTGATGGAAAGTGGTAACCGTCGCCTATAGACATGAGCAGTACCATGGATATAACAGAGTATACTGTTTCGCCCATGATACTCCCCATGCGTTGCCATTCCTGAGGACTCAGTTGTTATTCCTCTGTACCCAGTAAATTCACGCCATATCCCACCCTCAAACCGAAACACAGCTATGCAAACACAACTGCTTCACGGTTGAAACACGAATGGGACAGAGGTATCTAATAAACAGCACAGTCACGACACAACACATATTTTACGAAGATCGAATAAACGTCGAAAAGTGAGACAGTGTTAGCCACTATAACTATGATGGTGGTAATTTTAATATTAGGTATAATTTTAATAATAGGTGCGAGTACCATAAACTAGCAGAAACCTGGGTCATAACCTAAGAGTATAACCATGTGAAACAGACTGTTGTAACAAATTACCAATTAATCGATATTTTAGAATTATAGCATAGTATAAGAATTATAATAGTTTTACACCATACATATATATTATCACCACATATCAGCCTTTAACTGTCCACTGCTGAACCTATATCGTCATAGTCATAGAATACTGACGGATCTGACAAAGATTACATATAAAGATCCGTCAGTATTCTACGACTATGACGATATAGGTTCAGCGATATATCTTATAATAATTTGCAATTTATGAATTGAGAATCTTATAGTAATTCTGAATCGGTCAATGAAAATGCAAACAAATGAATAATTGACATGACCATAAAACAAATTACAGATATCGAAGGCTTAAATTAATAAAGTGTTTCCATACAAATGAATCGCGGTTCAAGTTGGTTCTGCAAGCTACACTTATTATTATACAATATATTATTATTTTTATTATTATTTTATATTAATTTATAAACCACATATTTATATTATGGAAAAAAATGTCCAAATCAGATCTCGGAAATTTTTTATTCAATTACTTGCAGCATTGAAAACAAACGCGTTTTGTTTAGAGTCATACCCCAAATTAGCAGACAAAATTTGACACATTTTTGATATCCAATGCTGTGTCTATATAGTCTAAGGTCCTTTAATAGTATAAATCAAATTAGATTAATTGACTGAATGTTTTAATTTGTTATTAAATTCGTTTCTGTGATAAACTTAACAACTTAGTTACCTTTAAATTCTATTAAAAGGGACTACACTATTAAATGTTAAAAGGAGTTTTGTTACACAAAACTGATTCAACAGGATTTTAGAATTTACACAAGTATATTGAAACCGTATTGACTATAAAAAGAATCATTACAATCACAAAAATATACTGTTAAACTGAGTACGTTTTTTTTGGAGTTGGTCGAAAATCTCTACTAGCAAACTATTGTACATAATAATTAATAGCTTCGATTATATGATATCATTCTAATTACTAATTAAAATATACTTTACAAAAAAAATTTATAAGACAAACATTTAGTCATTCAGTACTTGTATAATAAACGTGTTACATTAAATATTCCTTTTATTTAAATGGACACATAGATTATATAAATCGTTATGGAAAACATTTTATTTTGCCAATAAGTCACTAGACTTTATGACGTGGTCTAACGAGATTTCCGATTTTATATCTGATTTTGTGTCGTAATAATCGTAATGTCATTGTTTGGAACTATGCAATACTCGAAATTGGGTTTTTGGTTGGAATTTGATGTTATTATTCAATATTAAAAACATGAATAATTAAAGGTTGTGTTTCCCAAAAAAAAACCTACTTCAATTGTTCAATTGTGGCAGTGTTATTTTGATTTAAAAACTACATTACTGAATCGATTTTGACAAAATTTCCATGGAACCAACCTGAAAATATATGTATATTTTCGAATAAAAAATCCAAACAAATACCTGAAAAAGTTATGAGATAACAAACATAAAAAGTGCAGTCTTTTTTTAAGTCAAAATGACTGGTTTTGCTGTGATTAACGCCGGTATTTTTTCTTTTTGTGGGACAAAATTTACTTGTTTATGACTGCGATTGGGTTCACTATATTGTATTCATAACTGGTTTCATGTATAAATACACCGGTTCAGGAGCCCAGAGATTTGTTGTTTTATTTTTTATTATTTATTTTATTAAATATACAATTTGATCATGAAAACAGTACATTCAACTTTCGCATTGTAACATCTGTTTCGTCAACCTTTCTATGCGTTTGAAGTAACCAAAGTAGGTGCATGCTCTTACACATTTTAACACCGACAATTTCTTTCATAGCAACTCGCTCCCATCCCACACATTTAATAGTATATACTTAGACGAATAATGCGAACCGAAAGTTTAATTTACATTTCAACCGCATTTATACTACACTAACACGACGCTGCCTTTGTAGCAAACAAAGAAACTGCATTTGGTTAATTCACTATTGGATAACATACAATTTTTGATACAACAGTATTCCGTTACCTAATATATTGTCTATTTTTTTGAGGACGAGCCCTTATAGGTACAATATAACAATAATAGATGGATAAAAAACAGAAAAAAAAAATAATAAAAAGTACCTTGGATCGTAATCATTCATTTATTTCATACCTCTATACATATATGAAAACATCAAGAAATAAACATGATAATAATGATCTGTATATGTTTTTTGACATATGTAACTATATACAGACATATTAATGGAATATTTGTGTAAGATTTATACTCGTATGTAGAATCATATAATATGTACACAGTATCTTATAAAAGGATTTGAAAGGATCTAATTGTGGATTCAGGATGAATGAGTCTCTGTTTAAGACTCTTTTATACGCCGACGACCAAGTACTTTTTGCATCGTCGGAGTATGAATTACAACAAATGGTGACTATAATGAATGAAGCGTATGCAAGAAAAGGTATGAAAATAAATGCGAAGAAGACGAAGGTAATGGTTTTTGAGAGGAATGAAAGTTTAACGGCATGCCAGATTATGATAGGAGATGAAAAAGTGGAGCAAGTGAGTGAGTTTCTATATTTAGGTTCTTTGTTTACGAGGGATGGGAAGTGTGAAAGAGATATTGAGAGGAGAGTAAAAGCGGGAAACAGTGTTAACGGTGCATTGCTCTCGATTATGTCAAGTAAAAATGTATCGAGCAAAGCTCGCCTTGCTATAATTCAAGGAGTACTGACACCAACACTCATGTATGGAAGCGAATCGTGGGTATGGCAGAAGAAGCATGAAAGTAAGATAAATGCTGTACAGATGAGAGCTTTGAGAAGTATGTGTGGTATTACTTTAAAAGATAGAGTAAGAAACAGTGTGATTAGAGAGAAGTGTGGACTGAAAGTCGATGTAGTGACCAAAATCGAAAAAGGAATGTTGCGTTGGTTTGGTCATTTGGAGAGGATGGATGAAAGAAGAATTACGAAAGAGATTTATCGAGCAAGAATGAATGGAGATGTCGGTAGGGGCCGCCCTAGACGGACGTATGTCGACCAAATAGGCGACGTGCTGAAGAAGGGCCAAATTAAAAGTACCCGTAACCGACGAGCGTGTATGACAAGATTGATGAATGTGGAAGAAGCGAAAGAGGTTTGTTTGAATCGAAGCATTTGGCGTTCCATTGTTTCTGCCTACCCTAATGGGAGACAGGCGTGACAGATATGTATGTATGTATGTATGTATCTTATAAAAGTTCCTTATACAGTGATACCAGAAAATAAAATAAATATTGTAAAAAAGAAAATCTATCGCACTTGGCTAGTCTTATACTACTCGTAGCAAAAATAGTTGTAAATGCTTTGTAAATTATTATAATTTATATAGCTGTGATCTTATATACTTGTTTCATAGTGTGTTATATCTTGAAGTAAACAGATCAAAATTTCCATTCATTATCGACGTTATCTTTTATATAATTATTATATTTCTGACCTTTGGAAACTTGTAACTTGCGTGTTATATTTATATACCTCTACTTATTTTACTATAAACAAATCAATTGCCGAATGTTTACAAGAATAACTACACAAACTAACACTATAGAACCTATTTGACTATTATTTTGTTTTTATCGTTTGTAATTGTCAGACCAAGGTTTTTATGAAGGAAAATGTTTGAAAAATAGTACAGAATAGTTAAAAATTTAGAATAATTAAAAAAATTCGTATTACTTACATTAAGACTGAGTTCTACATACAAATTTTATCCTAAAGATTGTAATTTAAAAGCCAAACTTCAAAAATATTGACGAATTGATAGATTGACGTTCAATTGTTCAGTTTCATTGCTTTTATTACATAGTCGTATTTTAAAATCTCATTGTTTTTATTGGTCTACTCGTGCGAACCAGGAATGGGTAGCTAATTACGTATAAATAAAATATATACTCAGTGTATAAACTGTTACTTACTTTCATTTTCCATTTGGAAATAATTTTTTCAAAGGATAATGTAAGTGCAGTATTATGTGTGTATTTCGTTTACAACTATACATATACTTACACATAGATAAATATCTACTTTATCTATGACAGTCACAATAGTTGTTCGTCCATATCCGTTAGTTTCTTTCTATATTGTGTAAATAGATATGACCACTTTCCAAAATAAACACCTCAACTGGCGCCAAAGTGTTAAATGGATGTGAAAAGTAAATAAACAGAAATAGGTATGTTTCCTTTCACCAATAGTTTTAATTTCTTTTATAAATAATGACTTTAGTACTGGTCAAAATGATTTACATTTAAACAAAAAAAAAGAAGTTCTACAAATAAAAATAGTTTATTTTTTTGTGACGCTTATAAAAATAAACAAGCTGACGATCCACTTGATGGAAAGTGATGACCGTCGCTTATAAACATTAATAGTTCATTGAACATTTGAATATCATAGAAAGTATATTGTGATTCCAATTATATTCCTTATGTGCTTTTTTTAAGGCTGAAAATGAAATGATAACCCCGTCTGCGCTAGCGGGGCGTCAGTAAGGATTGATAGGTGAGAATGAAAAGTCAAGTCAGTTAGCCCATTGTAACGAATACACCTGGAATTCAGCACAATGATTTCCAGAGGGCACCACGGTCGACCTGACAGGGTTTATTGCTAGCAAAGAGACTGGTAGTGCGCATTATTAACAATATTATAGATTTTTGATGATTTATGAGTTTCTTTAATTACATTATTTAACTGGTGGGAACATTTCTCTTTTTATTAAAAACTTTCCTCTTGTCGGGGCAATTAATTTATACATTATCTTTCAGCTAGCTCTATACCAGGCTATATTTTTGTATACGACATGAAACTTAGTTTCCTTTATTTATTCCATGTAATTATTTCCCGGTCCGGTATTTCTTTCTCTTTTACCCTTTATTTGTGATGGGAATATGATGGGAACATATTTAACTAAAATAATAAATACTCAATAGACATCCAAATTCAAAACGGCACAACGGTTTTGCGTGATTGAAGGCAGCCGACATTCCGTTCAACTTTTTATGCAAAATCGAGAGACTGCACGCAACACTTGTACAAAATTTAAAACAAATTGGCGCGAAATCATTGATTAATAAATTATTGATTTGTCAAGCATCGAAGAATATAATAAGAAACGAGGTATTACTATGAACAATATGCAAAGGTAAAGGCAGCATTTGGTTTCGGTGAATTTTCCCACGATGCGAATATGAATGGAGCGCTTTTGTCAACACAACACACAAGTAGTAATTGATAGAAAACAATGCCATTTTACAAAATATTCCCTGTGCTAGGTTTTGTAAGTATTAAGCACGTACTTACTAAGTAATACCTATTGGATGTTACTAATATTTTAAAAGGCATAACGGAGAAAAGTAAAGAAACAATATATTTCTAATACAATATTAACTTAATTAATTAAAATGGTCAATAAATGCACATTAAAGTTATAAAAGTTTGTTTTTTAGTTTTTGAAATTAAGGTTGGTTTATTTAACAAACGATTCAAGTTTTTGTTAAGTTTTGTATAACAAGTCAGAATAAAATTCTCAAATCTTTATTATTTTTACTTTATTTAACTCTGTTAATGTTAACAGATTATCACTATTAATCCCATGGAACAAAAAATACAATAAAAATATGAACCTAAGGTACGAACAATAAATATTATTGCTTCGAATAAATTGGCGGCAATTTTTTTTTTATTAAAAGCAGTGCGCAAGGGTATTGTCGCAATGCCTACATATGTTAATTTATGTACAGAGTCATCAAAAGTAGGTAGGTAGGTACGTTCCAGATGGTTGCTGAAACACAATAAGACTTCCTCACCGTCTTTGATACTTGTATTTGCGTAAGAATGTACAATCTGCCCCCGATTCAAGATTTCTGTGTATTAAATAAAAAAATCAAAATACTCAAAATTTATCTTGTTGCTATTATTATAATATATCGCTATTTATTGAGTATAAAACGTTAATCATTACAGTTCTTTGTTTAAAATTTAATTTGGCACGAATTTTTATCACTAATAATAATTATTTATATATTAGGTTATATATATTTAAGTATAATTTACTATACTTATGGATGGACCATATAATTATATTATATATTAAAAGTAATAGTAAATACTCAGTAAATTTATCTTATTTTTGGAGTCTACTACCAGTGTACAGTATTGAAATTTGGGACACAGGTATTCTATGACAACTATCCAAATACCGTTTGCGAACTTTCACACTTATTAAGAAGTATAAAAATTATCAATGTTTTTATTTGTTTTACGTAAATAGAAACTATGGTTTAGTACCTGTTCTTGAATTGTACTTGATTTTTTTTTGTTACAGGTCACTAGTTGCTTGCTGCAGAAGAAAGCGCCGCTATATGATCAACTTTATCTTTTAATACTGAAGGCTACGCATGCGCTGGCCATAGCTGTTCGATACCGCGCCGTCGTCTCACGCGCTGATCACAAATTACGAATGTAAATATTATAAGTGCGCGGGTTAATCCGCATTCGAATTTTAAATTTTAAAAATCAAATGCGATTGCAATTTTAAAATTCAAAATGCGCGTTGTGTTTTTGTTTCTTTGTGTGAGTGTTTACGTAGTGATGGGACAAAATGCGAACGATATGGCAAATATGCCGAAATATGATCAAAGATATGACTATTTGGATGTAGATGCGTTGTTCAATAATAAGAGACTAGTCAGAAATTATGTGGATTGTCTAATTAGTGCATCGAGGTGTACGCCGGAAGGAAAGGCGCTCAAAAGTGAGTACCTAAATTAAATGATACAATCATACTTATTTTTTAAATGTACTGTATCATTTTGGTTTGTTACTACAATTATTTAAGATTTTACAATTACAAAATATGGAATTAAAATGGGAGCAAACCCAATCGATTGCAAAAAGAATTATTAAAATCGGTTATTTTTAGCGAAACCTAACGTAACATACATAATAAATACATGCGAAATGAGAGCTTCTCATCTAATCAGCTTTTTTTAAGTCGCTTCAAATAATTTCTAACCTGACCCTTTGCTAAATAGAAAATATTTTTAATGGGTGTTAATAGAATGGCAACTCTACCATTGGCGGAGCACCAGTGAAGGATTTTAGGTGACGGTGAAAAATAGATCAGTTAGTCCTTTGGTGATGAATTCCAATACACAATTTCTTAGCCCCTGAGAATTATTAAAATACTAAGTAGCAATTCAGTCGGTAATTAAAATAAATAAACCATTATTTATTAAGAATGTAATTTATTCATATATACTATATATAATAACATGGTCAAGGAAAAACAATAACTTATAATTTATACCAGTAAAATATTATTTTTATTTCAACATTCACAAAAAAAAACATTGACTTCATTCTACATTGAAACAAAATGATCATTTATAATAATCTATATTTACCATAAATAACCGTTCTGAAAGTAAGTACTTATTATAAAAAAAATAATAAAAAATACAAAAATCGAATTTTAACCTCATCCTTTTCTTAAGTAGATTAAAAATATATTTAGGAAGCAACATATTTATCTGTACGTAAGTGATATTTTAACTATTGAAACCTGTTTTGTATATTGGTAATTCTGCTTAAATCTTAATTAGATAATTTCATAATTATCAATTAGGAAATATAAAACATATTTGAAGAAACGCTAAGTATAAATTGCCCTCTTTCTTCACCTGCGTCTAAAGTTTACGCAACATTATTTATAATGCGAGAAAATCAATAAGTATCTAATCTGAATAAATTCATGAATGGTGCACATCTACGAGTATATTTATATTATAAAGAGGAAAGATTTGATTGTTTGTTTATTTGTAATAGATAAACTCAGAAACTATTTAAGCGATTTTAAAATTTCTTTCACCTATATAAAGCGGCCAGTTCCACTCGTCCCTAACAACTTTCCTCCCTCAAAGGTAAGTGTGGAATTTTTTTGTTCCACTTGACCCGTCACACAATGACCAGTAGGGATAAATGGAATAAATATACTACTTTATCATACCGATGCTACATTATCAGCGAGTGACATAGGCTATATGCTATTTTTCAAAATTAGAGATTTTGGCAACGCATGGGAGGTATCATGGGCAAAACAGTATACTCTGTTATGACCATGGTACTACTCATGTATATAGGCGACGGTTGCCACTTTCCATCGGATAGGCTGTCAGCTTGTTTGCCATTTTAAGTTGCATAAAAAAAAATCCTGCATAATTTACAATAATATAACCAAAAAGTATTTGTATAGGTAAATTTTTCTTTTTCTTCTGTTCGCAAAATGCTTTTTCTGATGACGACAAAAAATAGTCATCGAGAATTCAATTAAAGTTTTACCTGTTTTCATTAAAGTTTATTGGTTATTTGAACAATCAGAAATTTCATCTCTGACTGCTATTTTGTTCACGCACGTTTTGCGACACGTCTTTCACCTTTAAATGTGGCGAGAAACATGCGTGAACAAAATGGCAGTCGGTGATGGATGGCTAATATGGATGGTAGTAGAATTTGTGGTTATTACCACAAATTGGTAATAAATGGTAAAAAATAGTACTAAATCTTTGTTATATCATTTCGTTTTAGCAGTCACACACATAGTATAGCGAAATTAAACAAAATAATACCAATCAAATATCTAATCGATGATACGAACTTCCGCAATATAACATCTAGTTCAGTGAAATACATTCAAGTTTAAATAAATAAATAAAATATTTGTACTTTATACAATAACAATTGTTATTAAATATAGCGTGGGTCTTTCCGTAAACAAATGTTTCTCCCAAATTCTATACATAACACCATGTGTCATGTAACAGAGTGACACTAGGTACTGAACCTACTTGTCACTGTAGAAATTGAATATTTATTTACTTTTCTATGTGGTTTCACTGTTACGTTAGCTGCGGTTAAATAACTTTTAATGTAACCAGTAGTATAATATTATAGAAGTATACATTTTAATTATATTTCTGTAAAGATAAATTGGTAGGTACTTTAGGATATTTGCAGGTAAAAATATAGATAATAAGTTAATTTTAAGTAGTTCATTAAAATATAAACTATTTAAAGTCCCTTGTACCATACAAAAACCAATATTTAAAAAAATGTTCAAATACACATATTTTTATATTTTCCAGTGAATATTGAACCTATTGATGTTTAAATTGTCTTTGTAGTTATTCATTAATTAGTATAAATAGTTTATTAATAATCTGAGCCATAGAGTGGAACTCTATGGTTCATCACAAAATATAATAAGAAGATATGTTAATGTAATAATGAACTAATGTCTTATTGCTAGCAATATCAGGTTGAACTTCACGCGGGCCCCTCTGGATATAGTCATGGTTAATTCATGGTAAATTCATCACGACAAGCCAACTGACCTGGCTCCATCTTCACATACTTCACTTTACTTTCACCCATTGAAATATAACTCTACAGATTTTTTTTTTAAATTATGTCCTCTCACAGTAACGAGAGTTTCCTCTCGTTACTTATTTACATTAGAAGAAATTCCGATTACACTCGGGCAAATTTACATCTAGTATAATTATCTAACTCATTATTTTATCTGTTTTTTTTTTAGATCAAATCGTTATGCGCTCCGCTTACATCCACTTCCTTATAACGCTTTCGATCTCAATTCCGAGATTGAGAGTTTTCTGTAATAGTGTTTACATTTTGCCGATCGCATTCCGTCCAAACGACCCGTTGTGCGACACAGATAGACGTAAGGTCGACATTACACATTCTAGTCACGGTCGATGACTCTAATCGTCGTCGTTGTGAACGTGCCCTAACGTTATGATATTTTTTATTCATAACAAAATATGACGTTATGTGTCACGCACGAATAAGGAAATCGGCACTGTTATATTTTTTTTAATACTACTGGAAATATTATAATGCACAGCTCTGTCTAGTTCCTATGTATAATTTGTATTATGAGTATTAAGTATAGAAACTAGACAACTGAGTAATACTATTTTTTTATTTTTATTTAATACTGCCTGAATAATGTTAAATTAATATTATAAAGATGGAAGATTCTTGTAATGGATCATCATCATCATATTAGACGTTAGCTGTCCACTGCTAAACATAGGCCTCCCCTATGGGTTTGCCAGTAGTTGCCACGCTTAGTAATCATATTGGCAATCGCAATCAGGATTTTGTATTATTTTAAGAGGGACACTGCTGCCCAGCCCTCCATTCTCCATCTATCCATTTGTAATAAATAAACTAAAAATGTACTTAATAATTACTTCACGTATAGAAAGATACATAATTATTGAGTGAATAGCTTTATTTTATTATCAAACAAATTTCTGCTTTAACCTATTCATACGTGCGAAGCCAAATAATATCTACAAATGTGCAATTGTTCGGGAATCGAATCTGCGACCATTCAACCATTTGGCAGTGTGTTAAACTCTACGCCACCAAGATACCACCACTACATATTCGTGATTTTGCCCCAGCAGTAAATTTAAATCCTTTGTATAACAATACACAAAAACTCAAATATTGCCCATTGTAGGAATTTTGTTTCATATTTCCACAATATTTTCACAGAAAATTCGAAACGTCTTCATATAATTGTATACATTTTATTCACCTATTATATCGTGACGGTAAAATCGTACGATATCGTGCTGTGCTATGGAAAATTTATAAGGCACGCAACGGATGACCGACTAAATTGTCAAGTTTACGGATGTTAATGCATTTAGTTCGTTTTGAAAATAATGAAGACCTCGTTATTTTTAAAATTATAACATTTTCGTGACATCCGAACCGGATCGTGGTCACATCTTTGCCGGTTGCGTTACATTTGTGACCTTCCTTTCACGACAATAGAATGATCCCTATTGATGTCCTTAAGATTTTATTACCTACTCTCAAACTAGTTACTGATACGATAAAGAAAAAAAAAACAAAATGTAAAACACGCTTTTGATAAAAATAACAAAGGTTAAGTTGGGAAAACATGTAAATGTCACACATATAATAAAATGGACTATAGCATAAATTCTAGAAAATAAAGTCGCGAGTAACGATTTAATGATGTTTTTTTTTTATATAATATATATTTAAAATCTGAATATAATGATTATTAATTATATGAAGTTGACTTGTATATGTAACTTTGAACTGTCTGTGTTTAGCCTACACGGCATACAAAAATATGTAGATTACATATTTTTGGCACATCTGCATATATTTATTCGCATGTTTCGCAAATAAATAATCTTAAATGTATTTTTTTAGTAAGTAGTGACTATTTTTTAATGGGTTGATAATGGAGTGGTAACCCCGACTGCGCTGTCGGTATTCGCTAGCGGGACAATATGAAGGATAATAGATGAGGATGCAAGCAGGCCAGTTAGCCCATCGTGACGAAATTTACAAGAATTAACCAAGGGGAACCGCGTGGAGGCGAACGACTTGATAGGGTATTATATAGCAATGGAGCTGTCAGGTCCCCACTACTAACAGTACCTTTCCTCTGTTTTTCCCTTAGAGCAAAGTTAGGGGTTCCTAAACTTTTAAGATAACGAAACGCCCACAAAATACCTTTTTTTTTATGGAACCCTATATCAAACGATTACAAGTTAAAAACATTGTAATTTTAATAAAAACAAAAGCTTTTATTAGAAATATTTTAAATATATCTTTTTTTTATATTGTATAGTTTTCTTTAATTTTTAATGTGAAGAATGAAATTGTTTCACCGTATAAATA